GCCCTGGGGCTCGGCCCAGAGAGGGCAGCGCTGGGCCCGTGGCTTGGCAAGAGCTGCATGAGCAGCAGTGGCTGTGGCTGGCCAGCGCGCCGTGCTCACACATGCTGCTGCCCCTCGGGGCTGGCACTGGGGCAGGCACTGCCAAGCCCCGGGCGGGTGGCTGGTGCAGACGTGCTCAGCGGCTCTTATTCATCCTGTTGCCAAGGCAAACATTGCCGCGATTCCTGTGAAAGAGGCGTTGCTGCGTCTCAGCCCAGCCGGCACCTGCGCCGCGGGCTCTCACACCACAGCCGACAGCTCCCCGCCCAGAACAGGAACCTGAGCTCGGCGGCCACCGGCACGGCCTGGAACCCCGGCGTCCTGACCCCAGCGCCGGGCAGTGCAGCAGCCCTGCTGTGCCTCCCACCCGCATGGCAGCACAGAGCAGTGACAAGGGGCCAGGACTCAACGGGTCCTGTGGGCAGCCCGGCCCCGGAGGCAACGTGGCCTGCAGCCACGCCCACCCCGGCACCAAGGCTCCAAAGAGCCTTCAGGGGTCACCAAGTTCTGCTCCCGGCGAAACCTCATGCAGCTGATTGAATTACCCAATTTGCATGTAGCCGCTAACTTCACCTGATGGGCAGCATGCCCTGTGCCCAGCTGCAGTGGGGCAGACAGGCCTGAGGGTGCCAGGGGATGGGGCTCCCGGGGGCGGGGTCCTGTGCAGCCCGGCTCTCAGGGCCAGGGCCCCAGCTTCCCCCCGGGCTCAGGCAGGGATGAACCCTGCAGGTGCACGGCCATCCCCGCCATCAGACTGACCGGCGACTGCTGCAGCAGGGCCCTGCGAGACCCAGCCCCCCAGCCAGAGCACAGCCCTCTATACACAGCCCCGCCCCGCCCCTGCACGGCCCCATTGCCCCCCAGGCAGCGAGGGGTAGTGAGCGGGCGCCAGCCACACGGGTGGCGACTGAGGAGTAACATCCCGCCTGTGCAAACGGTGCTTCGGGATCATCACAATCGCAGGCAGGTACTGACACGTTTCATTGCCCGGGGGACGCACCAG